CCCACCTGATGTGTGGCGAGCAACTTGCCAATGAGTGATGAACACACACACACACACACACACAGACACACGCACACATAGGAAGAATTCAGAGAGAAAGGAGTGTACCGTGATGCCCAGGGCCTTGGCTCGGCGGGAGCTGGTTGGCCGTTTGCGATTGTTCATGCTGGCTGGTCTTCCGCGGGTCAAGTGCGTGAGGGTTGCGCTCGGCGTTGGCACGCCCAACAGCGCCGCCGACAGAAGGTTGCCCTTTAGCTCCTCGGCCTCAGTCCTTGGCTGGTCATCTGCTTCCGCAGGGGTAACTCCGATCTCCACAGAGGTCGGCGAAGTCGTTCCCTCCTCCCCCAGCTGCCCGGCAGCCTCAGAGAGGGCTGCCTCCACGACCGGCGCTGCTTCCACGGGCTCTCGGATCGACGCGGGTTCGGCGGCGACCTCGATCTCCACTGTGGACTCCTCCGCGGCGGCTTCCTGCCCAGCAGCCTCAGAGAGGGCTGCCTCCGCGACAGGCGCCGCTGCCATGGGCTCTCGGATCGACGCGGGTTCGGCGGCGACGTCGATCGCCACTATGGACTCCTCCTCCGCGGTGGCTTGCTGCCCAGCAGCCTCGCTCTCCTTTGTGGACTCCTTCTGTGCGGCTTCCTGCTGGCCGGCAGGTTGGGCCGGTTCGGACGGTTGCAGGGCAGGCACGGGCGGCTCGACGTTGCAGGCCACTTCTGGTTCTCCGTCTCCTTTCATTGTGAGCTCCGATTCTTCCTCGATGATCTTCGTCGCCTCATCTCGATCCGCCTCGAGAGTCTCACCACCGTCGACACCGCTTGGGGTTGGCGCTGCCTCGACCAACGAATTCGCTTCTTCGCTCATCTCGTGCTGTTCGCTCTCGGGGGGTTATGGTCGTCTCACCTCCGTGCTCAGGTTCCTCCAAGACATCGGTGAGAACAACGGGGTTGATGTCGTCGATGTCGGCGGCGGCGTTCTCCGTGTCGTGGGGCGGCTCCGCAGGGCGTGGTGTGGCGCGAGGGGACGGAGACGGCGAGCAATCCGATGAGCGTGGCGACCGCGCGGGAGGGGATGATGCCAGGAGTCTGCGTGCGGAGCTGGGTCTGGGAGAAGTCGTTCCGTGCCGGGGGGAGACCCCCGCTGCGATCTCGAGCTCCAGCGCCGCGACAGGTCGGGGCGATGATTCTCGGGCGTCCTCATCTTGTGGTGCTGCATGCTCACCAGCCGCCTCACGAGGCGAGGGTATAGGACCGGTACTCTCCTCCTGGCCCTGCACAGCCGTCAGAAAAGAGGCGGAGTGGTGGATGGTGGTGAGACACAAGCCGACAAGAGGGGCGGAGAGGTCGTGTGAGTGTACCTCGGGTGGTGAATTCGCGTGGGGCGAGAGAACCGGGGTCGGCGATTCGGCCAGGTCTCCGACCGGTGCAGAAGGAGGTCCATCATTTTCACGCTGCCCAAGGCAGCGGGGAGAAGGAGTGGCAGGGCGACCGCGAGGCGATGCAACAGGGCTGTCGCAAGCTCGAGGAAGCAAGGGTCGAGGAGAAGCTGAAGCAGCTGGAGGGATGCGAGGCGAGAGGGGCGGCAGGCGGCAGGCGTCAGCCGTCGGGATCTCAGGCGATGGAGGCGAGATGGCGGAGACATTGCCCGTACGCCGAGGTGAGGGCATCATCAGCTCCAGGGCATCGGCCTCGGGAGCCTCGTCCTCTTCACGGTGTGACCGCAGGCGTGGTGACAAACGCGGCGGCGGCAGCGGGGGCAACGTAGCGCTCGAGTCGTCGACATCCTCATCGCGGCCGAGCACAGCAGGCGGCGGAAACTCGTCGCGAGTGCGCGGGGAAGAGTCGCGAGTGCGCGGGGAGGAGTCGCGACTTGGTGGGGACGGCGGTCGAGGCGAAGCCACGGGCGAAGAGGAGGCTGGTTGCTGCTGCGGCGGAAGTGGCGGCGGTCCTCCTCCTCGCGGCGAAGCGGCGGCATTGGCCGCGAATCGAGGCGAAGGCGAGGGGGAGGGAGCCCGAGGGGAAGGATGCGATGAGCGGAGTGGCTCCGACGAGAGCGCATCGTCATCACCTTGCTCGCGAGAAGAGGCCTCGGGCGGGTGCTGTGCAGGAATCGGAGGAGGCGTCCACGGGAGCTCCGGTGGTGATGATGCAGGCGCCCGATCGTCGTCGGCCCTTGGCGGAGGCGGGGGAGGCACCCGAGATGGCAGTGGTGGTAATGGGACGTCTTCGCACGGGTGGTGGTGGTGGTGACCTTCAGTGCGTGGGGGCGGGGTGGGAGGGCGGTGAGGCATAGGGATAGGTGCCTCGGCCTCCACCCCGGCCGAGTGGCGCGCCTCATCGCCGCTGCCAAGGGGAGGAAGCGGAGGCAGTTGCGGCCAAGGTGAGGGAGACATCAGAAGAACTCTGTTGTCGTCGTCGTCATCTCGAGCTGGGGGGAGTGGAGGCAGGCTCGGCAGGTCGCGAGGTGAAGCGTCATCGCGCGTCGGTAGTGCCGGCGGCGGTCCAGCTTCAGGCGCCAGCTCGCCATCGCGGGCAGAGGCTTCCTCCTCTCCACCGCGGGAAGGAAAGCGGAGGGGTACGCAGGTGGTGGCGGTGTTGTTGGCGGGAGAAGGGAGAGCAGCAAAGGGCAGCCGTAGTGGCCCGCCGCCACCGGCAGCAGCAGCATCAGCAGCTTTGGGAAGAGCGTGCGGCACGACGAGAGGAAGTGTGGGGGTGGTTCGTGGTGGCTGGTGTGGTGGTGGCGGAGGCGGTGGCACAGGTGCTGCTGCTGCTGTTGCTGTTGTATTGGCGGCAGTGGTGGTGGCGAGGGGGACCACGGTAGGTAGCGGCAGTGGCGAAAGTGGCGGTGTCGCAGGGCGCTGCGGCGGCTGGTGTGAGAACTGAGCGGTGAGGGGCCGAGGACGCGGAAGCTGTGGTGGGACAGCGGGGAGCGGGGGAAGAGAGGGCAGAGCAGGCAGGGCAGGAGGAACGGGAGGGGCCGCTCCCCTTCCTCCTTCCACACGTGGCGGGGAAGCAGTCGGGTTGCTGCTGCTGCTGCTGCCGGAGGTAAAAACTAAGGTGGATGACGACGAAGACGAAGACGACGAAGAGGGGGCGACATGCGATCCATTTTGGGCGAGGAAGGAAGAAAGGTCCTTCTCACGTGACCCGAAGAAGGCCTCGAGCTTCTGCTTGATGCTCAGTTTTTTCGCGTTGTTGGTGTCGTTGGTGTCGTCGTCGTCGTCGTTGTCAACGGGGAGGAGTTGCTGAACGTTGGTGGAGTGGTGGCCGAGTGGAGGGGGGGAGTAGTACTACTTGGTGGTGGGGATGCACTTGCTTTGGAGTTTGGGTCCACATGCCCAGCAGCCACCGCCTGCTGCTTTTTATCTTTTTTCTTCCTCCCAAACATCCTCGCTCCTCTTGTTCACTCAGCTTCCTTGTGTCCTGATTGTGTTGTCAGCGGGCCATCACACCCCGCATGTTGCTGGGCAGGTGTTCAGTCATCCAATTGGCTGACAAAAAAAATTGGTGGAAGATAAAACTGAAAGAAGCTGCTCGGGTAGACCTAGGAGGGCTCTTTGTTGTTTTCTCAACATTGAAGTATTATTATTAAACCCTCACTGCGTTTTGCTTTCCTGCTGGTGGAAGGGCACGCGCTGGGAGTGCAGGGCCATAGGTGGAGAGGGGCGCCCCATACAGGCCCTTCGCCCTTCCATCTTCGCACTTTCCCTTGAGAATTTTATGATCTTTTTCTTTTTGTATTTACGCGACAACCTGGCTTTCTTTTTCTTTTTCTTTTTCTTTTTATTGTTATTGCCCCATGTGTGGCAAGAAGAAGAAAGCACCAAATTAAAAAAAAAAAAAAAAAACAAAAAAACGGCCAAACAAGACCATGGCCACGAAAGATTACAAGATCGCCAGTACGCGCGTGCCTCCTTTTTGTGGCCTTATGTTCTTGCCGGAGGAGTAGCTGGCAGAGCCAATCTCAAGAATTGACTCGCCATTCTTTTTTTTCCACTTCTTTACAGTCGGCGGGCCAGGAGGGGTGGGCAAGTCAGCCATTGTGCTTCAGTTCGTCACCGGCAACTATGTGTCCGAATATGGTGCGTGCCTCCCCCACCGCCATTACATCCTTTCGGTCAAAGGAGGAGGACTGACCTGTGCTGCTCTCGCCCCAAGACCCCACCATCGAAGACTCGTACGTCGCCACCACCCTCATTCATTAATTATTAATTATCTATTATTTAAATTTTATTGGTTCCTCTGAGAACTGCGCAGATACCGGAAACAGTTCGCTCTTGGCGACAAGGTGGTGATGGCCGACATGCTCGACACGGCGGGCATGGAGGAGTTCTCGGCCATGCGCGACCAGTGGATGCGCACCCACAACGGCTTCATCATCGTGTTCGGATTGGACTCCCGTAGCAGGTTATAATAGAGAACGTGTGGGCGTGTGGGTGTGTGCGTGGGTACGTTGCCGTTGTCTTGCCTGACGCGTGCTCGCATGTGCTGCTCTGGCCACAGCTTCAATGACACGGAGGCGTTCTTCGAGCAGATCGTCCGCGTGAAGGACGGCTTGCCCTTCTGTGCTGTGCTTGTTGGCAACAAATGGCATGCTGTTCCCACGCACGGCGCACCGCACAATGCGACATGCGACGCAACACACGCAACACGCAACATGACACACAACGCGACGAGTGTCATTTGTCCTGATATGACTCTCTCTCTCTCTCTGTCTCGAGACAGTGATGACGTGGATCACCGCCAGGTTGAGTCTGCCGAGGCGATCGCGATGGCCCGGCGCTGGAACGTGCCCTACGTCGAAGCCACGGCCAAGGAGAGCGTTGACCACATCTTCGCACACCTGTTGTACGACATGGAGGCTGCGCGCGGTACAATCGTACTACCCAGTGGTGCTGTAATCATTTCACTGATCTCAACCACACTGTGTGCGTGTGCGGGTGCGGGTGCGTGTGCGGTGGTGTGTGCGAAGTGGCACTTGCGACTGCAAAGGAGAAGGAGGAACCGGCCACCAAGAAAACGGAGGCTAACAAGAACTCGACCTGGCAACAGGACATGCTGGCCCTGGTGAACGAGCCCTCCTCCGCCGATATTCGGATTTTTATCGACCATCGTACCTATACCCCACGACGCACGACACGCAAGACAAGGCACTTGACACACACACGCACACACACGCACGCACACGCACGCACACACGACAAGATCTGACCTTGTAGTGACGGATGGCAGAGGGCGCCGTCTCAGGTCCGATATTTGGACACTCAATGATCATCGGCCGGCAGTCGCCAAAACTTCGGTACATTTGCCAACACGTATGCTTGCTATTTTACTTTTATCTCTCGCTCTCTCTCTTTTTATATAAGTCATATCTGAATCCGTAGATGACATCGTCCGACCAACCGCGACTCTTCTTCAATTCAAATCCAGGGAGCTGTTTGCCCAGGCCAAGCAGAGCGCTGGCGCTTGCGGGGTGGGCCAGGCGGCCGATGAGCTGCCGGCGGTCACCCTGTCGCACGTGAGCCCCGCCGTGCTGCAGTTCCTGCTGGGCTACTTCTACTCGTCGACACTCGCCCTGCCCTCCTTCCTCGAGCCGCAGGGCCAGGCCGTCATCGCCGAACTCTACCGGAGCATCGGCGGCACCAGCGACGCCCCGAAGGCTCCCGAAGCCGCCGACAGCAGCAGCAAATCTGGTAAGCATGCGTGTGCGGTCGTGTGCGTGCGTTGCGATGAGGTGTGAAGCTGATTCAGGTGCCCAGCGGACGCAGAGGGAATGCGCAGGGCGTGGAAGCTGGTGCGTCGAGTGTACAAATCCAAAAGGCCGTACTCGATCATTCTCGATCCCGTCGACGTCGCCTCTACGGCCACGGTCGGCCCTGAGTCCGTCGCCGCAATCATGCCCCTCCTGCAGCGCGTGATGGCCCAGGGCGTGTCGACCGCCGGCGCCGCCCACCTCTGTGCGCTCTTGCAGCACATGCACGCCTTCGCCGCTGCCTACGAGATTTCCGCCCTGCAAGAGTTCCTCGACCAGCGCCTCGCCGCCCTCAACCTACTCAGCGGTACCTGTCACTTTTTTCTCCGCGTGCCACACATTCCATCGTTCGTTGCATTGTAACCACTTAGTTGCACATACTTGGCATTTTGTCGACACAAAGAGTGTGGCAAGGCGATGGACCAGGTAATGAGCGTGGTCGCCCCGTTCTTCGAGGAGTGGGAAGCGGTCAAGGCCTCCAGCGCGACCCCCGCCAGCGCCTACTTCGCCCGCTTCCTGGAGCTGCTTGCCCGGCACGGCGTCCGGTTCGTGTTCGAGATGGTCCGGTTCGTCAAGCTGCTCGCCGACGTGCGGGGGTTGATGGGCGCCGACGTGATGCGCATGCTGACGACCCTGATCGTCGACCGGGCCGACGCTGTGTTCCTCCGCCTGAGCCTGGCGCTGGTCGACCTGCATCTGGCGCGCACGGCGCACGAAGGCGAGACGGAGCAGGCCAGCGCTGAGTACGTCACGCGGCTGCTGGTCCAGTGGGAGTTGCTGCTCGACCCGCTCGCGGCCCTGCTCGACGCCCGGCAGTGTGGCGGCGCTGTGACCGCCGCCGCCGACGGAGACGGTGACGCTGGGGCGACCGCCTCCGAGGGTGACGAGGCGCCGGCCGCTGCCGAAAAGAAGACCAAGAATTTGGAGCATACGCTCAACCTACGGAAGAAGGAAAAGAAGCGTCGCGCGCAGTCTCCTGTACGTGCGTGTGTCGTGTGTCGTGTGTCGTGTGTCGTGTGTCGTGTGTGTTGTGTGGTGTGTGTGTGTGTGTGTTGTGTCGTGTGTGTGTGCGCGTGTGTGTTCGTGTGTGCGGTTGATGACAATGACATGGAATTCTGGTGTGAGTGTGCAGGATGAGCAGGCAAAATACTTCCGGTCCTACATGAAGACGGGCCTGTCGTCGCTGAAGGAGTTCCTGCCGGAGCTCAGGGAGGAGCTGATCAAACATGCGACCGGCAAGCCCACCACCCTCACCAGGAAGCATCTGCCGACCTTCTTCATCGACCTGGCCGACAACCTGTGCAAGTGGTCCAAGGCCAACAAGCACTAGTACGACCCTCGCACGACACGCACGTGTTGTATGCGCGTGTCGTTGCTGATGATCAGACTTGTGCGCGCAGTAATGAGGCCATGCACCACCCAAACCTCGTAACTGCCGCTGTGGAACAGCGTACGTTTAATTCTTACGATTCTTATGATGAGTTGAAGATTAATAAGAAGAAAATGCTATGCGACAGTCGTGGCCGCGCTGGCCTACGGCCGAGAGGCCGAGAAGCACATCGGGCGCGACATCCACGCCGTCGCGCAGGTGGTGCTCTCCGACGAGCTCCGCGAGATCCTGATCGAGACCGGCGTCATCAAGCGAGAGTATGCGTCCGAGGCCGACGAGCAGAACAAGCCCGGCCTGCTGGCCAACGGGAAAGAGAAGGCGACGGCTACGCCGAAGACTGAAGAACCAGAGATCGAGACCTCCAAGGCCAAGGAGGTGGCCAAGGCGGACGAGAGCGAGCATGGTGCGACCACCGAAACGTCCAAGGAACAGGAAGGTGGCGACAGAGCAGTCGCCGAGGCGCAGCCTGATCGGACTAAAGCGTTCCTGCCTCGGCTGGGCATCGAGGTAAGCCACGCTCTGCACACTCTGCACACTCTGCACACATGCGCACACACCTGTGTCGACTTACCACGTTTCTAGGCGGAGAGCGACTTGGCGTTTGTGGTGGAGGGTCAACGCATATTCTGTTACCGGTACGTATGATGTGCATGCCACCGTGCGCACAAACCGTGTGTGTACATGCACTCTCTAACAAAGGCACGATTCGCTCACACCCAGGGCGGTGCTGATGGGTCGGTCACAACACTTCCGCATCTCCTTCACTGGTTACATGGAGCGATACACCAAGGAGGTACATGGTTCATTTTACTTATTTGTAGTTCTATTTATTATTTACTTTTGATGATCAATCATCAGCAACTGTATTGTCGTGTCGGCTGCCGCGGCGAACTGATCAGTTTCACTTTGTGGCCCGCGCAGATCCCGGTGCCCGACCACAGCTGTGCAGCATTCGCGGCATTCCTGCACTACCTCTACTATGACCAGTTGCCCCACCTGGACGCCTCTGACAATGGTTTCCTCCTACATGCATATTAATATTAAATTATATAATTATTATATAATAATTATATAATTATTATAATTATTTTTTTATTTACCTTGACCTTGACCTTTACATTTACACAAGATATTGATATTGATTTATGTCTGCGTTTGTGCGGTGCAGCGACGTTGGTTGGGTGGTGCGATGGGCAGTTCAGGGTGGCGTCTCCGCTGTCGGCTGGTGACGTCCTGCTGGAGGTGGTGGCCATCAGCGACGAATACCACCACGAACATCTCAAGGAGCTCGTACTGGGCCAACTGCTGCCCTTCGTTGACGTCGACAACGTGGTATTCCTCCACATGGTACGTACCTCCTCACGTACACACGACACGCTAGTACATTGACCCGACACAACTCGACACACACATAACCAACAACACACGACTCCCATCAGATGGCGCAACTCTACAACGCGACGGACCTGCGCAACAAGTGCGTGGCGGTCATGTCGGACAACTTTGAAAAGATCCACGATGAGCACTTCCCCGCCGCTCTCAAGGTGCTCCAAGGCGTGGTGCCACAGGAGGCCACCGCTTCCGAAGCTGAAGCCGAAAGCAGCAGTGGCCACAAGGAGGACCGGATCGAGTTGGATGAAGCCACGGCCCAACAGCTGATCAAAGGGTGGGAGGAGCGCCGCAAGCAGGTTGCACAATGCCAGAAGGGATTTCTCTTTGTCCCTCCACCAAGCTTGCACGTGTAGTGTAAGGCAGCTACGCCAGACAGCATGTTGTTGTTGTTGTTGGTAATCACCAATGGTATTGATGTTCCCTTAATTGGTGCGCAGGAAAAGGGGCAGAATTCTGATGTTGGCCGTGCCTTGCTCCTTCTGCCATGCAGATTTCTCCCCCCCCCCTTGAAGCTTGCCGCCTCCGTGATTGGGTGAGGCTGCCGCAACAGACAAAAATTTTGCCTCAGCCAATCCGAGTGTGAGCTGCGTGGTCTGCTTTTTGGCGCCAAACAAACGCGACACCGCGCTGCGGCAACACCACACACGCGACTAAACCAAAAACGAGAAAGATGCCACGCGTTGCTGCCAAGGCTCAAAAGAAGAAGCCAGTGTGCGACACAAAGCCCGCGCTCGAGGAGGGAGTCTCCTTTGACGACGTCCACACATGGTTCTCTTCGCTCTTAGTTCAGGGGTTTTTTTTTCCGCCGGCGCTCACCCGCAGGAGGACACCGCCACAGGTACATCGTGACGGAGCTGCGCGCGTTCCTCCGTGAGCAGGGCCTCCCCGTGTCCGGCAGGAAGGCCGAGCTCGTTCAGCGCGTGATCGACCACCTCGACTCCGACTCCGACTCTGGCTCGCCCAAAGAAGATGACAGTGAAAATGAAGAAGACGAGGAGGGCGATGAGAGGGGAAAGGAAGAGCAAAAGAAGAAGGCCAGGATAAAGCAGCCGGCCAACGCCAAGCGTTCTTCGAAGAAGCAGCAGGAGAGCGAAGACGAAGCTAGCGACACAGATGGGACAGTGGAAGCAAGCGGAGACGATGACGAGGAGGATGAAGAAAGCGACGGTGAAGGTGCAGCTCCATTGGTTAGTTAGTTAGTTGCTTAGTTAGTTGCCCTCAACCCTTAAGGGCTCTAAGTTTGCGACTCTCAGAGTTAGCTCACCCTAGGGCCTTCAACAACAGAGTCAGAAGAAGAAGAAGAAGAAGCGGACCAGGAGTCCTCCGAAGAGGAGTACGACTTTGAGCCGTACAAAGTCAACCCCGGATTCCAAAAGCTTCTGATGCGCATTGGCGGCGTCTGCGAGTCCGTGGCCGACCCTCTCCCGATGAGACTCATCGATCAATTCGAGCAGCAGCTACGCACCAACGTGCGTACATCCTCTCCTCCATCCGCGCCATCTCACTCCCTGACTTGTGGCCAATACTTGTATGCGTGTGGTGTGTGCTGTGTGTGAAACGCGCGTGATCGTGTCGTGCAGTTGGGAAAGCATGTCCGCCTGCCGAACGATCTGCGGCAGCTGTACCGCTTCTGCAATGGGCTCCAAAACGAAGAGGACAACTTCACCGTGTGCCCGCTCGTTGACGTCGGCGACGGTCGAGGAGGGCCGATGACGCACGCGGACATCTTCGGACCCGGCCACTGCGGGTGGCTGGACATGGCCGAGGACCCGGCGTGGATCCCCTTCGCCACCGGCTCGATGGAGGAGGAGCACGAGATCTTCATGGTCAACGCCAACCTCGACTCCGAGAGCTACGGCCATGTGATGTTGCTCATCCGGGACTGCTTCGACGATGGCGAACGCGTTGAAGCCCGCAGCATCTACAGCATGATGTCCAAGCGCTGGCGAAACGTTTGTTGATCCGTTGGGGGCAGTACGTTCGTTCACAGCGTATCCTTTGCACCATGCTGCCCCTCCTTGGCGGAGGTACAAGCATTTCTTATAAGAATTGACCACAACATGCCCATGACGGTGAACTGGGTTAACCTTTTGCGCCCCGCTCTGTTCTTTTGGCCTGCACACGACAGCATGCGTTCAGCAGCGACTCGCCTGAGGCTGGCCAACAGCAGGGTGGATATGGAAGGAAGGCGGCCCGATGATCTGCGTGGTCTGGACAGAAAAGAAGAAGCAGGTCCAGAAGTCAATCAATGTGGTTACTGCCAAAGGCTGTAGCCCAGCCACCTCTGATCTCGCCGCTCATCGCCGACCAAACTTGTCAGCCACCCTGACAAGGACAAGGACAGCACCCACGGGAGAGTGGTTCTACCCGAGTCACATAGGATGATCGCCTACTGCATGGAACTCGACCTGCAAGTGGGAGCGCTTTGTCAACCCCTCGAGGGAAGTCTTGCATCGTTCAAAACACAGCCCCGAGACAATCATGGCTGTGTTCAAGACGTTGAGCCCACTTTTTGGGTCATGCAGGCAACAGGAGCTATTGCGCAAGTCTGAGTTGTTGGCTTGTTTGGGTGCTGTGTGAAAGAAGAAGGAAGGCTGTTATGTTGTCTTTTCTGCTTAGAAACAGTTGCCCATGTTCTTGGCTCCAGGTGCGTTAGGTGATCGTAGGGTTTTCTCTTGTTTACTAGGAATGGGAAAGTGCTTTAATTTCACTGTTAATTGGTTTTTGCTCGGATAAAACCTGCCATTTTTGTAAAGGTCTCTGGGTTTTAGGGTTTAGGGTTAGGGTTAGGGTTAGGGTTAGGGTTAGGGTTAGGGTTAGGGTTAGGGTTAGGGTTAGGGTTAGGGTTAGGGTTAGGGTTAGGGTTAGGGTTAGGGTTAGGTTAGGGTTAGGGTTAGGGTTAGGGTTAGGGTTAGGGTTAGGGTTTAACGTA